GCCACAGACAAAGGTAGCCCAGACACCAGGTTAAAGAAGGAAGAGGCTTTATTCAGCCAGGAGGTCGACAGTCTTGCGTCTCAAGAACAGAACTGAGCTCTCCAAGAACTACATTCAGCCAGGAGCATCCACGACAGACTTGCATCTCAAGAACAGAACCGGAGCTCTCCAAGACACATTGTTCGGCCAGGAGCGTCAGTGACCGTCTCGAGAACAAAGACAGAGCTCCCTGAAGAAAGAGTTCCTGGCCCTTTGAGACTTACAACTCTAAGGGTGTCACATGACAGGGTCGTGGTGACTGAGCAAGCAGAATTACACGACCAGGTGGAGTGCAGTGATCTACAGATAGCACAGTGATTGGTTCAGGGTTAATCTTTAGCCCACAGGCCTGGCCAATGGCCCCGATCAGTCTGTTATTTTTCAGTTTTTACTTCCTCCTTTTCTTTGGAGAGAGGGAGACAGTAGAATGGCCTCTGTCACTCATTCTGGGCCATCTTTCTCCTGCTTCATGCTGAAGTTGCCCATTAACTGAAGTGGGCCGGTTCCATGAAGTGGGAATCGGCATTTGGGAATCACACTGGGCTGCTACTCTGTACAGCCCTTTGGGAGTGAACACTGACACCAAAATGGACCACACCGAGACCCTGAGAGGCGATGGGAGCTTGCTTCTTCTGGGGTTGAGGCTGGACTTTCTTACACCCCAAGAGACCCATCCCAAACTAAGACAACCCAGCAGGGAGGGATGGAGAGGAGACCCATGAAGCTGTGTTGTGGTCAGATTGGACCTTCCCATGGCTGCTGAAACTCTGGGACAAGCTGTCCCTTCTCTGGGAGTACTGGGGACACCTGAGGGATGCCTTCCTGCTCTTACTTTGTGGTCTGACAAAGAGATCAGTGTTACAACTACCCTGTAGTGTAGAGAATTCCTGTTCCTTTCATGCACTTCCCTCTTGGGGGAAGCAAGCACACACCCTCAGGAGCCCATTCCCATTCCTGAGCCACAGTCAAAGGAAAACCTGCTCAGACACGAACTTCCCTGGGCCTCTGCATTTCCAGATGTCCTGTCATTGCGTGTGTGAGGCTGACTGTCTCATCTCAGCTTGAAGGGCAGGCAGGGTGTGGTTCTCTGCTGAGCAAATGCCACGCCGGAGTCAGTGGTTCCGATTTCCTGAATCACGGTGGCAGGTGGGAGGCTGGGAGGGGCACCGGGGAGTTCTAGGGTAGTTTTGTATGAGCCTATGTCACAGTGTTTGATATTTAGCAGAGACCCGTCTGACCATCCTAAAGAAAGGTGCAACAGAAACTCACTTCACAGGGCCTTCATGATAACTGAGATGAGACAACATACTTAAGTATCTGGTCATGATATCTGAGAGATACTGAGTAATGAAAAATGATCCTTTCTCCCCTCTCTGATACTTAACGTAGCCCCTTACCTTGGGCTGCTGGTTCTGGAGGTCGCAGGGAAACGGATGGTTCATGCTGCTTTCACCGCAAGCTCTGGTACCCAGTAAGAACCAGCACGGTGTCGTGGAGCACACACCATACACCAGGCTTGGTGCTAAGAACTTTACATACTTGATCTCATTTAACATAGAAGTCAGGGGATGATCCCATTTCACAGAATACTGAGGTTCATAAATGTCAAATAACCTGCCTGGAGGAGCCAGGTCTGAGAACAAGGTCTGTGCTCATAGCCACGTGGTACCCGTGGTCCCAGAGTCACAGGCCTTCTGAAGACGTGAAATCTGGTTGAGATCAATTTTCTGTCTCTGGAATCATCATATCCTCTGAATTCTTATGTGTTTACAGGCTGAGGTCATTAATCGTGTAGAAAACCTGGGAGGACAAGTGAACTTCCTGAGCCCCGACAGGCAGGAGTCCTGCCAAAGCCAAAATGTATCACCTTGGAAGATGATGCCCCAGGAAGAATGGGGAGGAGGGAGGAGGAAAAACTGCTGATGAGGCCGACTTGCTCTTTGGGGCCCGTCATAGACGTTTCTCCTCTGTGAGGAGGTGACAGTGTGTTCTGGGTGAGAGCAGCTTTGTCCTGGAAGGAATGTCCGGCTTGGAAGGAGGCAGTTGTCCAGCAGGCGCCTGCTCCCTTTCTGCTCGCTCAAGGGCTCTCTGCAGAGCTCCTTCCCCGGAGCTGCTGGCAGGATGTCCTTGCTCGCGGGGCAATCCATGGGGACGTCTGGAACGGTGGGGCTATCTTGGGGCGATGGATGGGAGCTGCTCCACCTCAGTTACCTGGACTATGAGGCACAGGGCTGGGCACCACGAGGAGCATGAGTGAAGCAGCCTGGTTGGATTTCAGAAGAACTGGGCTTGAGTCCTAGTTCTGCCACAAACATGTGACTCTTAGGCAGTCACTTTATGTTTTTATTTCTTGGCAGTAAAACTGTCATTGCACCACCACAATATGGGGTGTAAGGAACTACTGAAAACAAATCTCAAAATGTTCTGCAGACCTCAAATACTGTACAAATATTAAACTGTTGTAAAATCCAGTCTCTGCCTTTGAGATTTTACAATCGGTGAACAGGTAAACACAAGCACACATAACAAGAGGTGATCTCCCATTGAGTGCTGGGTGATGGGAACAGAAAGCAAATGCTTTGAGTTGGGGTAGTGGGCTGGGAGTGATGAGGGAAGGCAGGAGACGGGAGGCAGACCGTGATTTTTTTTTTTTTTTTTTTTTTTTTGAGATGGAGTCTCGCTCTGTTGCCCAGGTTGGAGTGCGGTGGCGTGATCTCGCCTCACTGCAACCTCTGCCTCCCAGGTTCCAGCAATTCTCTGCCTCAGCCTCCTGAGCAGCTGAAATTACATGTGCCCGCCACCACGCCCGGCTTATTTTTGTATTTTTAGTAGAGATGGGGTTTCACCATCTTGGTCAGGTGGTCTTGAACTCCTGACCTCATGATCCACTCACCTCGGCCTCCCAAAGTGCTAGGATTACGTGTGAGCCACTGTACCTGGCCTTGAATGGGTTTTAAAGGTTTGGGCAGACAAGCTGGGTCACTGAAACTCTCATAGAGGAAGCATGAGCCAAGGTGCAGCAGCAAATTGTACACACAACCTGCTTTAGCCATCAGGTGCAACAGAGGCTGCACACAGGTGACACATTAGGAGAAATCCAATCTGCACGTGTGTTTTATTTTACCACCAGTGTTTACTATCATCTGGCCACTTAAGACAGGGATATTTAAAATGAAAAATTCAGATTTCCCTTTTTTTTTTGAGACAGAGTCACTCTGTCACCCAGGTTGGAGTGTAGAGGGGTTTCGTCTCGGCTCACTGCACCATCCGCCTCCCAGTTTCAAGCAATTCTCCTGCCTCAGTCTCCCGAGTAGCTGAGATTACAGGTGTACACCACCACGCCTGGCTAATTTTTGTATTTTCCAGTAGAGACAGGATTTCACCACGTGGCCAGGCTGGTGTCCAACTCCTGACCTCGTAATCACCCACCTGGGCCTCCCAAAGTGCTAGGATTACAGGCACATGACCACCACGCCTGATCCAGAGTTCCCATTCTTTTAAAAACCAGAGACCTGTCACCTGGGTCCTCTTCCCCAGCCAGTAGTGATCCTCTGGAGTTTCTGAAAGGGTTCATGCCACACCCACTCCATCCCCTGCTGCCTTTCCCACCTACTCCAGTTAACTCACTCCATCACCACCTGACTGTCAGCATCTGGGCTCTGATTCCCGGGTAAACAAAACCTTCAATGGGAAGAAAAGTTCTACGAAGGGAGCTGTATGAGGGGAGACATGGGTCCCTAGACACCCGAAGGCAGAGACTGAAGTGGACCCAAGCTGTAAACCCTCCCCTTTCAGCTGCCTCCAGCTGCCACCAGGCCTACTCCTGCACACCTGACATCTTTGCCCACGGTCATCGATGCAATCACTTTCTTCACTGCCTCCTTCTTCTTCTCCTTCTTGTCACTGTTGAGCTCTGCCTTCAGCTCGAAGATCTCCCCTAAGGAAAGGAGGCATGGCTTGATCCCTCCTACCCTGGCAGAGACAATTTCCAGTATCCTAGCAGAAGAACCAGAGGGAGGCACGTAAGACATCCTATGCTGTTGGTGAGGGCGCTTCAGGCGCCTGGCCTGAGGCCAGTGAGGGACAGCTGTTACAGGACAGGAATTAACAAGCTGGAAGCTTGGAGGCCAGTGCAGTACTTCACACCTGTAATCCCAGCACTTTAAGAGGCTGAGGATTGGCCGGGTGTGGTGGCTCATGCCTGTAATCCCAGCACTTTGGGAGGCCGAGGCAGGCGGATCAGTCAGGAAATCAAGACCATCACAGCTAACATAGTGAAACCTCATCTGTAATAAAATACACAAAATTAACCCAGTATGGTAATTGTGTCTGTAATCCCAGCTACCGGAGGAGGCTGACAGCTGAGAATCACTTGAATCAGGGAGTTTGAGGCCACAGTAAGCTGTGATTGTGCCACTGCACACCAGCCTGGGTGACAGAGCGAGACCCTGTCTCAAACAAACAAAAAACAAACATGTGTTTGTAGGAAAGATCTAAATCCTGGTTCTGCTGCCTGCTAACTAACCCCCAGCAGGTTCAAATCCTCTGAAACCTCCAGTTCCTCATCTATAGAATCATATGATGATGCCCACCACTTGCTTGAGGTTGCTGAGAGCTTAACTGACATAACGCATGTAAAAAACAAGGCCGGGCGAGGGTGAGGTGGGTGGACTGCTTGAGCTCAGGCATTTGAGACCAGTCTGGGCAACACAGTGAAAACTTGCCTCTACAAAATATATAAAAATTAGCTGGGCATATTGGCATGCATCTGTAGTCGGCTACCTGGAAGAATCGATTGAGCCGGAGGTTGAGCACCAAGGAGAATGGTCCAGCAGCAGCTCAGTCCATGCTTGTCAACCACCCCCCTCCATACACTCCAGCCCCGGTCCACATCCCCCAAGGCTCCTTGTGGGATTCCTCAGCAACACCAATGCACTGACCGTCACTCTATGTTCTCCTAGTTTCTGATGAAGATCTGCAGGTGCTTGCACATGATGGCACGGAGGATGTGAAATCAGAACTTGTAAGACGTATTTCTTTCTCTGGAAGAGAAATTTTTTTGCTTTTGTTTTTTGTTTTTTCTGGGGCTTCTAGACTATCAAGTGAATATCATTTTTGACTGCCATCATGGATCAGGCGTCAGTTGGTCATGGACTGTAGCGACCGGCCACTAGAGGTTATGGCCAACTGAGGCCTGATTGACGATGGCAGTCAAAGGACGGTGTCACTTACTAACTGTTTGGTAGTGAGTGTATTTCTCAGTAGCAACTTTTCTCCCTGAAAAATAGTTTTGTATTTGCCAGCCAACATGGACACTTGCTAAATATTCCAAAAAAAAATCCCACTGCATTTTCCACAAGCATCCTCTATGCTTTCGTTCGGGGCCAGTGACCTGATTACTGTTTTTTTGTTTGTTTGTTTGTTTTTTCTCTTATTGCAGAGCAATTCGAAAACCCAGTCTCAACTCTGTACGTATTCTTTTTTTTTTTAACAGCTTTATTTAAACGTAGTTGACGTGCAAAACAATTTACTCATTTAAATTAGGTGATTCAGTGTCTCTACTCTATTTACACGGTTGTGCAACCATTGTTACAATCTCATCTGAGAACCCCTTTATTCCCCCTCAAAGAAACCCCACTAGTAGTCACTCCTCTGTCTTTCCCAACTCCCACACCCCTGGGTCTAGGCAGCCTCGAATCTACTTCCTGTTTCTATAGTACAGTGCCTTTCTGTATTAACCGGTTCTTAAGGTGACTATTTCACATTGATGAGGTTGCCCTAGGTAGAAAGCCAAGGCTCTTTCATTTCTTTCTGCCCCTCTCCTTTGCCTGCCTTCGACACCAAGGACAATGGTCCAGCAGCAGCTAAGTCCATGTTAGTCAACGGCCCACCTCCATACACTCCAGCCCCGGTCCACATCCCCCAAGGCTCCTTGTGGGATTCCTCAGCAGCACCAATGCACTGACTGTCACTCTATCTTCTCCTAGATTTGGTCGAAGATCTCAGTGAGGGTCCATCTGGTGGTCTTGAAGATCTCATGACATTGGAGATGGTAAGATGCATTTCTTTGTCTGAAGAAATGTTTCTCCTGGTTCCTCTTGCCTTATTAATGAAATGAAGATACAAAAATCTGACCAAGTACATTATAGAAGAGAAATGCAATTTTTTTGTTGGCTGGAATATCAAGGGAATACCATATTTGATGGCTGTCGTCCATCAGGTCTTAGTTGATCATGGACTCTAGTGACTGGTCACTGGAGTTATGACCAACTGAGTCCTGTTGGATGATGGTGGTCAAAAATGAGAGCATCACTTAGAAACTATCTTGTAGTGAGCATATTTCTCAGTAGCAACTTTTTCTTCTTGAAAAATATTTTGTATTTGCCAGCCAACATGGACTTGCTAAATATTCCATGAAAACCCATTGCCTTTTCCACAAGCATCGTCTATGCTTCATTCACGGGGCCAGTGACTTGATCACTGTTTGACATGTTGTTTTGTAATGTCACCAAGTGAATAAAAGATCTGTGCTGGCTGGGCGCGGTGGCTCACGCCTGTAATCCCAGCACTTTGGGAGGCCGAGGCAGGCGGATCACGAGGTCAGGAGATTGAGACCATCCTGGCTAACACGGTGAAACCCCATCTGTACTAAAAATACAAAAAATTAGCTAGGCGTGGTGGCGGGCACCTGTAGTCCCAGCTACTCGGGAGGCTGAGGCAGGAGAATGGCGTGAACCCGGGACGTGGAGCTTGCAGTGATCCAAGAGCGCGCCACTGCACTCCAGCCTGGGCGACAGAGCGAGACTCCGTCAAAAAAAATAAAAGATCTGTGCCAACAGGACTCCATGTGATCTGATCCTCATAGTGTTTTCCTTTCTCCTATTGCAGGCAAAGGAGAGAAGCCAAGCTTACCTCTGTAAGTGTGTGTGTGTGTGTGTGTGTGTGTGTGTGTGTGTGTGTGTGTGTTTATTTTGTTTTTTATTTGAGATGAAGCCTTGTTCTTTTCCCCTAGGCTGGGCTGAGATGGCAGAATCTCGGCTCAAGGAATCCCCCAGCTCCTGGGTTCGAGGACTTCTCCGGCGTCCGCGTCCCAAGTAGCTGGGATCAGGGACGCCTGCCACCACCCCCAGCTACCATCATTTTATGAAAGCCTATTTCCATCTGGCTGAAAAAAAATATCGCAAACCCCTTTCTTTTCCTACTGAGCACCTGTGAACAGTGACCTGCAGTTTGTGGCTGTAGCCAGTCCTCATGGAGCCTGGTGTTCTTACATTTCATTCTGAGGTTCACATTCTCAGTCACCCTGCAGGAGAACACCCGCCCCATCCTGGGTCATTACAGGGTGTGCCCATCCATCTGCTGCATCTGAGGAGCTGGGTCCAGCTTCTGCGGTGAATCCATATATTTCTGTGTTTCCTGGATAAGGAAGAGGAAAGGAGCTGAGCTGGGGGAGGAAAAAGAGGTAATATTAACTGACTCCTTATTTTGTGCCAGGCACTGTACTAGTTACATATCCTTTTATCTCATGTAATTCTTACCAAACAGTAAGGGGGTTGGGAGTGATAGGGACAATACTGTTACCTCCATTTTAGGGTGAGAAAATGAAGGCTCAGAAAGGTTAAATAACTTGCCCAAGGTCACTCAGTTGCTAAGAGCCAGGATATGAAACAGAAGCTTTATATTAGATGGGTTCAAATTTATTTTCAATTTCCCTGCTCCATTCTGAATATGCAATGGCATTTACCCTTGGGCTATGTAGGACAAGTGCTTTGTCACCAAAACACCTATTGTGAACTCTTTCTGCCCTAGTATGATTCATGTATTTTATCTTCTTCAAACTAAAAACCTTTAAGAGTCAGGAACCTGCCATACAGACTCTCAACTTAAACCTCAGCCACTTTTACCCTAAAATTCAGACTCGTGTAGACATCTCTAGAAGACTTGGTGGACTAATCTTTAAGAGTTCGTTTGCATGAGGGAGGAAGGGGAGCCCAAATTTGGACAAAGTCCGTTTCTTAGAGTTCCTCCAGCCCAGTCCTGAGTGGTAGAAATCAGGAACTGAAAATAAATCTGAAAGTTGTTTGAAATCATGGTAAGACATGGGGAACATAATATACTGGGGGCTTGTGTTATAAATGAGGCTATTTTTCTATTTTTAGTATTTTGTATTTTTAGTAGAGACGGAGTTTCACCGTGTTGGCCAGGCTGGTCTCGAACTCCTGATCTCAAGTGATCCCCCCCACCTCAGCCTCCAAAAGTGCTGGGATTACAGGCGTGAGCTACCGTGCCCTGCCCACTGTAAGTGTGTATATATATAATAGAAATATAATACATATGGCTGGGCATGGTGGCTCACGCCTGTAATCCCAGCACTTTGGGAGGCCGAGGCGGGTGGATCACGAGGTCAGGAGATTGAGACCATCCTAGCTAACACAGTGAAACTCCGTCTCTACTAAAAATACAAAAAATTAGCCGGGGGTGGTGGCGGGCACCTGTGGTCCCAGTTACTCCGGAGGCTTAGGCAGGAGAAAGGTGTGAACCCAGGAGGCAGAGCTTGCAGTGAGCCGAGATCGCGCCACTGCACTCCAGCCTGGGCGACAGAGTGAGACTCTGTCTCAAAAAATATACATATATATAAATATATATTTATATATAATATAGTATATAACATTATATATATGCTATATAATATATTGTATATATACTATATAATATAAATGTTTAATATATATTATATTACATATAATACAAATATATAATATATATTATATTATACATAATATAAACACATTTCTGGCCCAGAAATGCGTTTCAACTAGACGCAGCCCCCCAGTTCTTGGCCAGGGCAGTGACAGCGCTCCCGAGTAGCAGGGGAGGTGGGGAGAGACATGAGATCCAGCACAGGGTGAGCTCAGCAAAGGGGTGGGGACTGACCCTAGAGTCCAGGTCATCCTCGCAACTCTTCTGTGGAATCCGCAACACCTCAGTTTCCACTTACTTTGGAGGTGGTTTAACATCGTCAGTATCACACTCGGAGTCTTCCCGCAGATGGAAGAGGAACCCTGGCCATGGGTGTTTACTGCCAGGGCAGTGACTGTCTCTTCCTCGTTTGTCCTTATCCCAGAGCTCAGTCCTGGGGGAGACATGTTAGGCCCCATGGATGTTTTAATGAACACACCCCTAGGATGAGCTCTAGCTCGCCCCCAGGCTGGGATCTAGTGCAGGTGTGGAAGGGTTGTCTTCTCAGCCTGTTGAGCCCCACACTCATCCTGGAGCCTGCCCAGCTTCTGAGTCAGGGTCCCTGGAGATGAGGGTGAGCTCCTGAGGACAGCCCGATGCCCCTACCCCTCTGCTCCTGCTGCTCTGATCTTGTCTAAACAGGGCGTGCAGAGCCATGCTCGTCCACTGGGTGCAAGGGCGCCCCCTGCTGGAATCCCTCTGGACCTGGATATTGTCCTCATGATCATATCCCCAGCCCCACAGAGTGACTGACCCTTGTGCAGATGCCCAGGAAGTAACCTGAAATGCAGGCTAGAATCAGAGCAGCAAATGATTCGGCAAAAACAAACAAACAAACAAACAAACAAAAAACTCCAGGATAAGGGAGTCATATCTTCCTCATTTCTGGATCTCTGGAGCTGTCCCGTCTATTGTGGTTCTCAGTCATATATGTGCCTCTTCATGGGTAAATAAATTTAAATATATACAATTAAAAATTCAGAACCTCATCACAACAGCCACCGTGCAATGGCCCAGCAGCCACATGTTTATACAGCTCGAGTTTTCCTTCTTTCTACCCTTTGATGAGAACATGATCTTCAGGCTGGCGCTGGTTTACTGGAATTTCTAGGGGTGGCACATGTGCTAAAAGACTTTTAGTTTTGAGGGAAAGGCAAGTGAAAGATCAAATCAAGTATATACTTTTTAAGAAATGGACCTTTTGTTTTAAATGTGGGGACATCAACAGTGAACTTTATAGTCCTTGGTGCCTTCTTACCGAGAAATTTCCTTTAACATCTATTTTTATTAGTTTTTAAGACCAAAGAAATCCAAACACCATTTTATATTTGGCAATGCTTCCTGTATGTTTATACCAGATAAGCTAGATTTCACCTTTATATTAGTGTTATTAATGTTCAACTTAGTTTAAAAAAAACTTTGCAAACATATTTATTCAATTTTTAATGTCTGACCATAAGATAAGATTTTTATAGACTTTTTTAACCTTTTATAATTTTTGTCAAAGAGCAGGCTAGTGCTTTCAGAAAAACCCGTTGTATTTTTCTTTTAATGTCCAGTTCACAGAAAAACTGGATGATACCCCTTTAACTGTAGCCAATATGTTTACACACAGAATTTTCCTTACAATTAATGTTTCAAAACTTGCTTAAACCTTCAAAACAATTTTTAACCTTTTAATGTAATTAAAAATAAACATTCTTATGCCTTCTTATAATCCTTTTACCAAAGGCCTATTTTACTTTCCTTATACACTTTGCACATAAACTGTTTCTTCAATAGTTTTACATTCAGGAGGATTAATTAATTTAAATTATACATCATTTCTTTCATAAATTTTTCTAACACATTTTTTATGACTTTCACAGACAATTCTTCGACATGCCTCAACTTTCTGACTTATTGCAAACATCCCTTTCTTTAAACAACTAGTTAATTTATTTCAGGACAAGAATTTTCCATATAACATTCCTTTTTATATAAATTCTGCCCCCCCTCCTTTTTTTTTTTTTTTTTTGTTGTTGTTGTTGTTGTTGTTGTTTTCAAAGATGATAACCATTCTTTTCCAAAGCAGACTTCCTTCATATCTGTGGACTAGACTGTCTAAGGCCACAGATTAGAAGTTACTATAATACATGTTACATTGTTAACTTTTAGCAAACTTTACTTTTGTTGAAAACTTTGTAAGTGTGGGATTTCAATTATCCTTTGTATTAACAAGACTTTGTTTAGTCCAAATTAACTTAGAATTTGTATAGATGGCTTTTTTTTTTTTTTTTTTTCCTGGTTCTGTAAGAACTTTAAGGCTTGGCTAAGTGCAAACAGCTCACATATTTGAGCAGACCAATTATTAGGCAATTTTTCTAACTCTGCTTCTACAAGAGTTTCACTGAATTACGGAATACCCATTGTGGTTTTTTTTTCCTCAGTCACCTGGGAGAAACTATCAATCATCCTGTCCTGAAGGGAGTTCCTCCTAGGTCTAGTCGGACCTTCGTGTGGCAATTAAGATTTAAATCCCCCGTTAGGAAATCTGTTGGGTTAAGAGCATTTTCAGGGGTTTATGTTAAATCATCTTTTTCTAACAAAATAGTCCCATACTGTATCTTTTTTTTTCTTTTATCTTTTTTTTCTTTTCTTTTATCTTTTTTTTTTCTTTTCTTTTCTTTTTTTTACTTAGGATACTTCTTAACTGGTGAGGTGTGCTCACAATTAGGTTTCCTCTAAATTTATTTTTCTACTTTCTTCTGTTAGCAAAGCAGTTGCCGCTACAGACTGAATGCATTTGAACCATCTGCGGGATACTGGGTTCAAGGAATTCACACCAAATCAGAATCAAAACCAAAACCAAAGTGCCGATAAAGGCACGCCATGGGTGATCAGGCCACACGTCAACCGAAATGGAGTGGGCAAGGCCACGCCAACCGAAACGAGTGGGCAAGTTCCCAAGACTGGTCCTGTCAAGAAATTCCAAACCAAGTCAAAAATCAAACCCAAACCAGGCCGGGCGTGGTGGCTCAAGCCTGTAATCCCAGTACTTTGGGAGCGAGACGGGCGGATCACGAGGTCAGGAGATCGAGACCATCCCAAGCACACAGTGAAACCCCGTCTCTACTAAAAAATACCAAAAAACTAGCCGGGCGTGGTGGCGGGCACCTGTAGTCCCAGCTGCTCGGGAGGCTGAGGCAGGAGAATGGCATAAACCCGGGAGGTGGAGCTTGCAGTGAGCGAAGATCCGGCCACTGCACTCCAGCCTGGGTGACAGAGTGAGACTCCGTCTCACAAAAAAAAAAAAAAAAAAGACTTATAACCATTTCTTTTTAAAAATCAGTTAAGGGCCGGGCATGGTGGCTCAAGCCTGTAATCCCAGCACTTTGGGAGGCCGAGACGGGCGGATCACAAGGTCAGAAGATCGAGAC